TAAAGAGATGAATCTCCCTGAGCTACGAAACCATAGCCTATTAATCTCTAATTCTTCATTCCTGGCACCCACTGCTTATTCAAATTGTTTGATTTGTTTTGTCCAACTTGTCACTAGTTGCTAAGCGATATGTTACGCTGATGAGGACGTGGATGATGTTTATGCCTCAGATGGAAGATTCCAGAGCTTCTTGGTGTCCCATTTTCTGAACTGCTGATGGAATATTCTCATCTATGGCCAGTCCACACAGGATCTTAACATCAACACACAAGCCTAGTTTTTTAACTTTGCAGATCTCAATTAGCAGAATGTTCTCTTAGAAACAAACACATCTCTCAGTGACCACCAGGGAGCTGAATTAACTGGTTTTCTTCATAAGGTTCAGTAAAACATTTACTGGGGAATGTTTTCCTGCAGATGGAATTCAAAATGGATTGTTTTCTAAAGGATTTCTCTCCTAGAGTAGCCAGAAAATGGTGTTAAAAGGAGTGGCATAAAATGCTACTCATCACTAACAAAGGACTTTCCACCCCTTGCACAAAATCTGAATTACACATTTCTTTGGGTGTCCAGAAGCTTCTGCAGAGAGAAGAGAAGGAATGGGCTGGAATTATTGTTTAATTAGCCGTAAGCTGGAGACTTGCTTTCTGCTTGGCACCTGCTGTGCTATGCCCCTCAGCAGGTGGTCCTTGCTGCAGACCCATCTCCAGTGTCACCGCCCTCCGCGACACCTGAAAGCTGCCCCACTCTGGGCCTCTCACAGCTTTCCCGGCTGGGCTTTCCCACCTCTAGGAAGGGCTGTGGTCCTCGCAGTATCTCTGTTCCAAGGGGGCTCTGCTGCTTCATTGAGATGCAGGTAGCAGTGCTCTAAGGAAAGGCTGCAAGCATCATTAAAGTGGTGGGGAGGCAAACAGCCCCGGCGCTGCATACCAAGCGGCACGGCATCTAACTGAATCATTTTATTATGAATACGTTCCAGGCTGCCACTGTGAGCCACTGGTGTAAAATATGCAGGCAAAATGAATCTCTGCTAATTACATTTCATGCATATTTAAGAGCTTTCCACAGGGGTTCAGGAGGATGGTGTTCATAAAAGGGAATTTTACAACCAGGTTCACCTGCATTTTGGCTCAAGACTAGTGGGTAACAAAGATAAGTTCAAGTATATTCCATGTTGTGTTTGTTTTGGCTGCAACATTGTAATCCCTTGTAACTCTATCAGTGCTGCTGTGGTCACTAGCTAAAAATAAAATCCCTCTTCAAATCTACCTGAACACACATAGATAACTGCAGAAAAGCTTCCACACATTGGTTCTTTCTGGATTTGTCTCCAGTGTTACCTTAGATTGAATTAAGGAAATGAGCCTCTGAATTCAGGAATGTTTTAGGACAATGACAGAAAAGAAAGCATCAAACCTGCTTCAGGGCAGAGCTGTACAGAGCACAGGTGACCGCCTTCTCGTGGCTCCTCACCCTCTGCCTAGCTTCACTTTTCATTGCCAACAAGGCCAGCTGGTTATTGAATGAGATGAAAAGTCGTCCGTGGGCTTCATCAAAGTGGAAGAGACATCTGAAGTCCTGACTTTGGGGGAAAGGACAAGCTATCCTCTGGATGGACAGCTGGTGTCGGATATCCCAGAGTCTCAGCACCTGGGTAAAACATGATGAAATCGTATAACTACATCAAAGATGATTCTCTGCTTTTGCCAATTTTTTTTTCTGGCTCACCCTCAACTCTAGGTAGACAGTTACTCCCTCCATCTTGCTGTTTGGTTCACACTTCTGCTGCAGCACATTTTATTTTATATTTCAGTGTCTCTTTATCTCCTAAATTGTAAGCTCCTCTAGGAAAGGGACTGGGGTTTATATCAGCCCCTGGTACAGGCTTGGCATTTAGTTCATGCTTATGGTGGGCAGAATAATAGTCCCGAAAGGTACCCCAGCCTTAATCCCCAGAATCTCTGAATTTGTTAACATATTTGTCGAAAGAGATTTTGCAGATATAAAGGACACGGAAATAATGATAGTTCTGAATTATTTGAGTGTTCAGTGTAGTAACAAGGGTCTTTATATGTGGAAAAGTGAGACGGGAAATTAGATGGGAGTGATGGGACTGAGCCTCTTCCCAGCACCGCCGGTTCTGGAGATGGGAAAGGGGGGTGGGGTGGGGCAGGATCCAAGGACGGAAGAAAAGTGAAAGAAATGGAACCTGCCCCAGAACCTCCGGAAGGAGGCCGAGCCCTGCACACCTGGGTTTCCTCTCAGTGAGGCCCGTGTTGGAAACCTCACCTACAGAACACAGAGAAATCAGTGCTGTTTCAGGCCCTGGCTGTGTTATCTGTGACACAAGCAATGGGAAACGGACACAAGTCTCTCTCCACACAGATACAGACAGACACATAACCTAACCCTAGAGAGAGGAAATTTCATCTGATGCCATTTCTTTTATTTTTTAGTAGCATTAAATGAAATCAAATTCAAGTAAGACACAGAAATTAAATTCTTATTCAAACACAGGCAAGACACAGAAATGACGTGTGCTCCTACCAGTGGATGGTGGGGGACAAACATCAAATCCTCGCTCAGGAGAAAGCTTGCTTTAGACTCAACACATAAAATACTTCATTTTTCTATTTTTTTATTCAAGTTAGCAGAAAACAACTCAGTGCCTAGAGCACCAGCCACATACACAGAGGCTGGCGGATTCAAACCCAGCCCAGCCTGCCAAACAATGACAACTACAACCAAAAAATAGCCAGGAGCTGTGCTGGCACCTGGAGTCCCAGCTACTTGGGAGGCTGAGGCAAGAGAATCACTTGAGCCAAAGAGTTTGAGGTTGCTGTGAGCTGTGATGCCTCAGCACTCTACCAAGAGCAACATAGTGACACTGTGTCTCAAAGAAAAAAAGTTAGCAGGAAAGCTCTAGGTTCTAAACTCAGCTCTGTGTTACAAATAGGGGAACCTCCAGCCGGTGTCTTTCTCTCTCTGAGTTTGTAACATAGGATCTCCTTGGTCCAAGGCTGTGAGAACTGGATGTCAGCCCTCAACCACCACTTACCAGACAACAGCCCGGAAGGTGGTCAACACATGCTCTCCATTCTTAAAATTATTTTATCATTATTTTCATTGTGTAACTATTGGAACCTGAAAGCAAAAAACTTTCTCTCAAATAAACTAGCCTACCTTCTCCAATGGAGAAGTACTTCAGATTACCTCTGAATGATGGTTTCCGTTTAAATGACTATTCCTTACCCCACAAGGCAGGCACTTCATGGTTTTTAACTTATTTTAAATCATATACTTCTTTTAAAAAATCTGTTGAAAATAATGGTTTTCTCCTCCCTTCCCATATGCACACACCTGTACACACACACGGTTTTATATATAATCTCACTGGACACAGCATAATAGCCCCAGAAGGAACCTGGGTCTGAATCCCCAGAACCTCTAACTCTGTTAACATGTTTGTCAAAAGAGATTTTGCAGATATAAAGGACTCCCAAATAGTGGGATAGTTCTGGATCACTTGAGTGTCCAATGTAACAACAGGGGTCTTTACATGTGGAAAAGTACGACGGAAAATTAGATGGGAGGAATGCGACATGAGACGCAGGAATCCCTGCAGGCCGCTCAGTACGTTCAGCCGAAATCACCCTCTTCTGCCTCCTGTGTTTGGCCAGGGTCAGGTTTGAACCCACCACCTCTGGCATATGGGTCTGGTGCCTTATCCTTGAGCCACAGGTGCCACCCTCATCTGCCTTTTGATTCTATTCTACCCCCATGCCATAAGCCTGCTCTTACCCCTTTTCTCCAGCATAAACGATCCCAGTTCCTCCCATGATCCTAATATCAGTGTTCAGATCCTATTACCACCTCCCACGAGGACCTCCTGATTCTCTCTCCCTCTGTCTCTGCTTCCACTTTCTCTCTAGGAGACAGTAGTCACACAGACCTCATTTACTCTTTTTTTTAATTTATTTTTGGGGGTTTTTTTTTTAATTTTATTTCGTTGCTTATTTTTTCTTTTCTTTTTTTTTTTTTTTTTTTTTTTTTTTTTTTTTTTTTTTTTTTTTTTTGTCGAGACAGAGTCCCACCCTGTGCCCCTGAGCAAAGTGCAGCGGCTTGGTAGTTCACTGCAACCTCCGACTCCTGGCTTGTGGGCATCCCGCTGCCTCAGCCTCCGGAAGCCGCTGGGATTACAGGTGCTCTCCGCGGCACCCGGCTGGGTTTTTCCATTTTTTTCATGAGTCGGGGTCTCACTTTCGCTCAAGCGAGTCTCGAACTCCTGAGCTCCAGCGATTCTCCCTCCTCAGCCTCCCACAGTGCTGGGATTACAGGCGTGAGCCACCACGCCCAGCAGACCTCATTTACTCTTAATAACCATAGTAGGAGTTGTCCATTGGGTAAAATCAAACAGTTCTTCAGAGCCTTTACTTTAGCCCCTATCTCTCTAGGCCAAGTCCCCCTCTTTCTCTGTCTCTTTAGCTTTTCCTGGATTATGTTTTATTCCATAACATTAAATCATTTTTTCTTTTTTGAGACAGAGTCTCACTATGTTGCCTTTGGTAGAGTGCTGTGGCGTCACAACTCACAGCAACCTGAAACTCTTGGGCTTAAGAGATTCTCTTGCCTCAGCCTCCCACGTAGCTGAGACTATAGGTGCCCACCACAACACTAGGCTATTTTTTTGTTGTTGCAGTTGTCATTGTTGTTTAGCTGGCCCAGGCCAGGTTCGAACCCCCCAGCCTTGGTGCATGTAGCTGGTGCCATAACCACAGGTGCCAAGCCTAAATAATCTCCTTGTGTGCATAGATCTACGTATAGATGTAGCGCATGTATTATTCATAAATGAGTCTATCAACTTGCGCCTGAGACAAATCACTCCTACGCTCTTTCCACCCTTCTCTTTCCATTCTTCCTAAGCTAAGCATTTAAGTTTTTTAGTCTTATTGGTTATTATAGTTTTAAATATAATACTTGTACATTAATTAGTTCAACACTAATTTAAGACACTATCTCCGAACACCTTAGGGGCTGCAAGGATGTGTTTTAAGCAAGGCACTCAGATTTGAGCCAGTATGTCAAGTGTGTTCTAATGATTACAGGTGCTAGGATTCCTTTCAAGCAGTCTATTTTTGCATTAGCTGATTAAGCTACTCCATCATGCTTTTCACTTACCTTGAGGTCTTGATTAAGCAAAACTCTAAGTCTTATTTCTGTGAGGAAATAATCAACTCAGATGTCTCCTCTCTTATAAGATCTGATTTCTTAACCTAAGACTTGAATTTTTCCTAGTTTTAATCCAGGGTTTCAGTGTGATGATATCATTTTAAACCCCAATTTAATTATATTGACAGTTTCTTCCTGATTTTTCCACACATCCCATAGGACATAGTGGATATTCAATAAATGTTTTTGAATTAAGATTGTGGCTCACCTAATAACTATCTAGTTCATTAATGAAAAGATTAGACAGGATAGGATAGACAGGATATAGCACTCCCAGAAAAAATCTGCCTCCCCTCCAGACAGTTTTTGACCCAAATGTAAATCATGAGAATCCGCAGTGAAATTTTATGGGACCTGTTCAAATATCTTGTTGAAATAATTATGCTTGATACTTAATGTAACCTCTGTATCCACCAACCTGTCACAAATGTGAACTGACCTAGTCAATCCCTACCAGGTAAATAGAATTGCTAATTCTTCTCACCCAAAGAACATATATTTATAGAGAAAATGTGTTTTCTTGGCAAGAACTTTTTATTAAGGAATTCATTCTGGTTCTTAAGCATTACTAAAATATTTTTTTAATTAAAACCTCTGGCAGCTTTCCAAGAAATGCTTCTCTTCAAGGTAATAATAATAATAATAATAATAAAGTCTGCAAGAATTGAGACTTGGAAAAATATTCTAATGTGGTCTAAATATAAATTGAATTGATAAACTCTTTTTTTTATTTCTTATAGTAAACTATGTACATTAATGCAATCATGGGGTACAGTGTGCTGTTTTCACATACATTTGGAAATACTCTCATCAAACTGGTTAACATAACCTTCATGTCATTTTCTTAGTTATTGGTTAAGACATTCATACTCTGCTTTTAGAAAGATTCACTTGTACCCTTGTAAGATAAACCAAAGGGGTGACCCCACCAATCACCCTCCCTCTCCCCA